CCTTCATAGACTATGCAAGATGCATGACAGAGCCTGGGGAATAGAGTGACAAATCATTTTTGTATCTCAGCAGCCTAGTGAGCTACTCTGAATGCCAACAGTAACTAATTCACCAGGGACGCCATTATCTTTTTTCTGTTAATGGAAAAGCTGCTTCTGGTTTCAAAAGATAAATCAGTCATTGTTATTATAGCTCTTTAAAATATTAATGTTTATTAATCCATTTAGATGAAATGGACTGACTTGTGCTTTAGTATTCTGGTTTAAATTTTGGAGCATCTCTGTGCAGTGGTTAAACTGGTGTAAAGTTTAAGCATCTAAGAATTGATGGTCATTCCTCATAAATCCTGGCTTAAACTGAATGAAGAGTTCTCACTTAAATATCATCCTTTATGTTTTTCTTTGACCTTTTAATAACTTGCAAGTTGCTATTGTATTGCATGTATTTAGCTTGCACTGATTTTTCTAACAGCTGGCTCTTAGCAGTCTTGGAAACAGGTGTTCATAATTAGCTGCTGTACACACACCACCTTTTTCTGTTGCTTAGTAATAGTCTTAATTGGAGAAAGCATTGTATGACAATTTGAAGGGTTGGAAGCGAGGTGGCTTGGGTTTGATTCTGTCCTTAAGCACATCATTTAACCTCTTTCTAGTTTTCCTCTCCATAAATTATGGGAAAATCACTTTTGTAAGGTTCTTTGAGAATTGTTGGTAATACTTTGGACTTCAGTATGCTAGTGTTATCTGTGGCTTGTACTTAACTCTCATTAAGCATTAATTTCTTTTTTCTTGGGTAGACTTTCTAACTTTTGGAAAGTTTTGTGCGTGAAAGTTGGTCGACTTAAGTTGGCTTCCTTGCCCCCCTCCCCCCTTTTTTTGTTTTTAAATTAAGGCAAAACCAGGCATTTTTATTGTTAAGAATTCTAAGTTTGTAAATTAGTGTATGAAAATGTAGGTTGAAGAACAGTGCATGCTAGTTTATATTTTGATGGACTGCAGTACATTTGTTGTTAAGGCCTGTTAACTTTTACTTGAAAAAATAAATTGCAGTCCTCTGATCCAGCTTTTGTGCAGTTAAAAACGATAAATGATGGTATAAATGCTTAAAACTATACAGAACAGCTTTAATTGCATGAGGGAAATTTGTTCTCAACTTAATGTGACTGAATTGCATCATAACTTTTTGTTCTACAAGAAATGTTTTCTTGAAATGTATTTTAGGTTTTCTCTTGTATCTCTTAGGATGGAATTGCATTTAAAAAGAGCAAAAACCCCACAAGATCAAGAATAGTGACTGCTCATTTAAATATTCTTTTGAAATAACATTCTGAGTGCCAGTTTAAATAGGCAACAGATATGTTAACATTCAAATGAACGTAGTTAAACTATATACTTTGGCTGGCCTTGTGCTGTCTTGTGAGAAATGTCTGTTTCTACCCAGTCTTCAGGAAATTTTGGTATTGGGTATGTAATGCAGACTTTGCCACTAGCTCAATCATAGCTGAACTCTCTTGACCCCTCTCTTGAGCAAGAGTTGAACACCTGGTTTTAAAATGTCTGTCCAAGTGATTTTCTTACAGTGGTTGAAGCTAAACTCTTTAGATGGATGTTGCACATAGGCTATAGATTCATAGATTCATAGATTAAGGGTCGGAAGGGACCTAGTAGATCTTCTAGCCCGACCCCCCGCCAGGGCGGGAGAACAACAAAAAACCCCAAAAAGAGAAATGGGACTCAAACGAGTCCAGCCAGGTAGGCATCCAGCCTCTTCTTAAAGACCCCCAGGGTAGGGGCCAGCACCACTTCCCTTGGAAGTTGGTTCCAG